CTTTAGGCTACAAGAAACTCAAAATACTCCTGACATGACAAACAGTTTGCCAGTTATCTTTAAGTTAATAACTGAGAGCAAAATTCTTAAAAAAAAATGAGTTCATAACACAACCTTATGTGACCAACTTAGTCATCTTTGCCTTGATTACCTGTCGCCATACTTAGCAAAATAAACAAAACAATTTGTATAAATGAATGTTTAATTGTTTTTCTCACAATGTAAAAGTCAGGGATGTCAATGTGTATCTGGATTGCTTTGTATTGTGTGATAAAATTTGTATCATGAAAATTTGATACAATAAAATAAAATCTGATATAATAAAGTTTGTCTATGCAAACCATCAGGTTCTACAACTAAAGCAGTTTTAACCAGGTTACTCACCATTCAACTGAAATACCTTCTCCCCAGACCCCCAGAGAGACCAAGAATTAAAGGGGTCCTGCCAGGGTTTTAAGATGCATCCAAACTCTTAATTTCACAAGGATACAGAGAAATTTTAAGTTGATGAGCTGATCAATAATAAATCAGAGCAATTTCATGTTTTCATCATAGTGGCTAAAGAGCTGGGAAGCACTGCCCAATCCTGCAAGTAAATGTTCAATAATACACTCAAGAATATGGCTACTGTCCAGAGTGCAATCTTTCATGTTTGTGCAGTCCTGACTTTTGATTGGAAAACTTCTGACTCCCTTTGCACTGGTGTGGCATCTCTCCAAAGTAGGTTCTCTCGTGTTCATGTGGATGTCTCCTCTCTCCAAAACACCTCTACCAAAATTTGCACTGGCAGCTCCTCAGAGCAATGGAGTCTTTGTATAAACGACTTGTTACAAGTTTTTCTGTGATACGTCTTCTCTCCAGCGTGGGTTCGTTCATGTACTTGTAGATTTGCTTTTTGAGAAAACCACTTATCACAGGTTTTACACTGGTATGGCTTTTCTCCAGTGTGGGATCTTTCATGTCTTCATAGATTTCCTATTTGTGTAAACAACTAGTTACATTTCTTGCAATGGTATGGCTTCTCTCCAATGTGGGATCTCTCATGGGTTTGTAGACTTCTTTTCTGGGGAAAGCACATGTCACAAGTTTTGCACTGGTATGGCTTCTCTCCTGTGTGGAATCTCTCATGGACTTTTAGATCTCTTTTTTGAGTAAACTGCTTATCACATGTTTCACAGTGGAATGGCCTCTCTCCAGTGTGGGTTCTTTCATGGCTTTGTAGAGTTCCTTTTCGAGAAAATGTCTTGTCACAGGTTTTGCACTGGTATGGCTTCTCCCCAGTGTGGATTCTTTCGTGTAATTGTAGAGTTCCCTTATTGGTAAACCATTTGTCACAAGTTTTACACTGATATGGCTTCTCTCCAGTGTGGGATCTCTCATGTGCCTGTAGATTTGCTTTTTGTGTAAAACATTTTTCACAAGTTTTGCACTGGTATGGCTTCTCTCCAGTGTGAGATCTCTCGTGTACCTTAAGATTTCCCTTTAGTGTAAAACACGCATCACAAGTTTTGCACTGGTATGGCTTCTTTCTACAATGGCATCTTTCATGTACCTGTAGATTTCCCTGTTGTGCAAAGCACTCGTCACAAATTTTGCACTGGTATGGCTTTTCTCCAGTGTGGGATCTTTTATGGACCTGTAGATGCCCCTTTTGTGCAAAACACTTATTACAAGTTTTGCATTAAATGCCTTTTCCACACACAAGTTGCCTTCAAGTTTTGTTGATTCTTTATACAATACTTTGATTTTCCACTTTCTCTGCACCTCAATAGTGCGAGACATTTTAGTTTGCCATGTAAGCATCAGCCGAGAAACTCTCTTTGCCAGCAAAAGCTATCTGCAATGCTAGAGGAAAAGAAATACATACCTTCAGGAGTATATTTGACAGGGTTTTACCTTTGAAATTCAGTACCAATCAATTAAATTCAAATAGCCAGAGAAAATGGGTGGCATTCTTGGTAAAAATTTATTTCAAACAGTAATACTCTTATATCAAAGGAAGTTTCACCATAACAATTTCCATTAACAAAGGTATTTCCAGACAGTGCAACTGCTGGCCAGCTCCCAAAAAAGAGAGGTGTAATTAAGTCAGCACATATAGAAAGAAGTGTATCAAAAACAAGTTCTTTGAAATAGCTTCAGGCAACTGCTGAATAAAATCTACTCCAGACCTTTTTTTTTCTAACAACTACTCTATGAGAATATACACAAACTAATCAAATGACTGAGGCCTTAAACTGATGTAAAAAGTAAAAATTTTTTTTAAACTTTTTTAAAAAATCCAAGCTTTCACTGACCTAACGATGCCGTTAATCAGCAAAAGCTTGGATTTTTTAAAATGTTTTAGAAAAATTTTAGTACTTTTACAACACTTTAAGGCCTCATACAATTAGTTTGTATATGTTGAAGTTCAATCTTATCCTTGAGTTTAATTTTTTCCAAACCAGTTCAATTTTTTTGAACCAGTTTAATTTTTTTTTAACCAGTTTAATTTTACTGATTAGGGTTAAGCACTCCTTTTACTGATTAGGGTTAAGCACTCCTTTTACTGATTAGGGTTAAGCACTCCTTTTACTGATTAGGGTTAGGTTTAAGGTTTAGGATTAGGGTTAGGGTTAGGGTTAGGGATGGTACCCAATGCTTTTCCAGCCAGTCAAACAAACAACACCAGTATTGATACACAGTAATGGCTTTTTTACTCCTTGAAACAAAATGATGAATTGACAGAACCTTGTAATAAGTATTACTTGACAATTCTTTAAATAGATTAAATAGCTTTCTTGCATGCGGCAGAGAATGTCAGCTCAGTAGTGTAATCAAGTTCAATGTTCTGAGTGGTAGCTGTGTAAGTATTTAAACAGGTGGGTGAAATTAATGTGTTTATTCTATCAAATTTGTTTACAATTTCTTCAATTTTTCCCAGAAGAAGATTTGAATGTAGAGGTGATGTCTTGTCAACACAGTCAATTTTTATGGAGACACTGTCTCCAACTTTAAATTTTCTAAGTTGGGCTTTTTTTTGGCTTTGGGTTACCATTTCGTTATTGTACTTTTCCTGATTTTCAGTTATTTCTTGACATTTTTTTTTTGGTTTTTCCTCATGATTTTCACATTCTCTATGGCTTTTAATACCATAAACAGCCTCATATGGCATCATCTTTATTGCTCGATGGTAGCTTAAGTTTCTAGTATAAGCTGCTTCTAATGTTTTTTGACACCATTTCTGAACACTTGAGGAAGAGGTGCTCATTATTAATGCTCTCGTATCCTCTTTCCAGGATCTATTTGATCTTTCAACCAAACCTTGAGTGGTTGGAGTGCGTGGAGAACCATGAGCCAATTTAATGCCATTTTCTTCACAAAATGTTTCCATCTTTTTGTTTGCAGATTATTTAACATTGTCGGTTAGGATTTTTTTAGGAAAGCCATAGGTGTAGCAGTAGCGTTTGAATCCGGTGAGTACTTCATCGGCAGACTTGGCGCTCAGAGGTGTTATGCAAACCTACTTAGTATGATGGTCAGTTATGTTCATGGCCTATGTGTGCTTTTCGGTACAATCACAAGGACAGTTAAGGAAGTCCATTAAATCTATCTCTAAGAGAGATAGAATTATGTCGGAGATTGAATAGGTTTATCAACAAGCTTAACACGGCTAGTAACCGACTGCTGCTCGGCATGAATTGGACACAGACCAACAAATATGGCTACCACTTTCACATTGACTTCGGAATAGTTGTTTATTGATCCATTTACAAGTTATTTATCGACCCCGATGAGCAGTGCGATTGTGAGTGAGAGCCAACACATTATGAATTTCCCTCTTAGGGACGACTTTTTTCTTGTTTTGCGTTATTATTGAGTTTTCTGAATACGCCCACTGCTTTCTTATGGCTGTTGATTTCTCCCACTTCAACAGCCTGGGTTCTTCGGATTAAATTCCAAGCTGTGTCTCATCCTGGTATTTGAGATAGGCTTTTGCTTTATCAAAGAATGAATCCTCAATAAAAAGCATTATCTGCGATTCCTTTTTGGCCTGTTTGTTTTTTAAGGTGTTCAACTGTTCGTAAAATATTTCTCTTGGTACACATGGTACATGAGGTTCAGTCATGTTTCGAGCTCGAAGTCCTGGTCTCTACCAAATGCGCATGTTTTTTTCTTTATGAATAATTCAAGAAGAGGTTTGGCCGAGGGGAGCGAGGTCTGGGGCTAAATAAAAGATCCTGTGGGGTGGGGTAGGTTATGTTCTCAAGGAAAATTGTGTGGATGACAGGTTATTAGAGAGAATAACTAGATGAGAAATTGCAGGGAAATCTTCATCATTTTTCTCTTTCATCTTTCATTTGATTCTTTTTCAGACCCCCCTCAAAAGCCATTCCCCTATTTTTCATCCACACCCCAAACAGAAAAGGCCCTTTTTCAGACAGTTGATTAACAAAAACTGGTTCAAAAAAAATTGAACTGGTTTGGAAAAAATTAAACCAGAGGATAAAATTGAACTACAACATTTACTTTAACAATGCTACTGAAGGACAACATGGACAGATTAAACTCTGAGAGTAGCCACTATGTTACACTGTCTGTAAGAGTAAGTTATCCAATCTTTGTTTTGACTTCAGTTGACGCAGACGAGTGGTAATTTTGCATTGTGTTGTCTATGTGGCTCAGTGGTAGAGAGATTTGGGTTAGGGATCTGACGGTCTGGGTTCGCACCCTAATGGGAAAATTCAATTTCAGGACTAGTTTGATAGCCCTTGATAAGATCTATTCTGCTTGCATAGCCATTGGCCAGGCAAAATTAGATCCCTATTAGTACGCACCGTCTTTAAATTGTATTTGAAATGATACACTAGCTCGATCTGTGACCTCGATCTGCAGCTGTGCAGAATATCACTCAAAATGGCTTGAGTTCTGGAGTAATAACGAAATGGTAAAACGTCCCACCCAACCATTAATGCAATCGCAGATTATAAAGCAAAATTTCACATTTCCTCTCTTACCTTAGATGTTTGTAAGTTCTCTAAGACAAACACGACGAACGCCATGAGGTACAGCTTCTCTTCATCTCTCTTGTTTTTTGAACGGAGAAGAGAGGACACTGGGAATGACATAAGCTGATTCTCAGATGTGGTACAAGACCATATCTTACACCACCCGCTCTCAAAAATGGTGGGTCAAGAATTCCAAGAAGTAACTAACCACGAGGAGTCCCTCTCTGGTGCATCGCTGCTAGCCTCTGCCCTGAAGAATCAAGGTGTGGAATACATGTTTGGAGTTGTAGGAATACCAGTCATAGAGATCGCAGGGGCTGCACAAGCAGAGGGAATCAAATACATTGGCATGAGAAACGAACAAGCAGTAAGTGTGTAACTTCTCCTTTTACGAGCTATCATTGCAAGTAGTCTAACTTGTGATTCCACATTCCTTTTTTTTTGGTGGGGGGGGGGATGCAGTCGTGTGGCAGTGTAAGAATCGGTGGTCTCGTTAAACCGACGGCTGACGACTCCCACGCTGTTATTCACACTATCTTCCCCCTCCGATACCCCTGTCCCTCCGCGCTGTTGGTCTCACCATGCCCCCTCCCCTCCCTCCCCCGTGCTTTTCGCTGCACTATCTCCCCCTGTCCTTCCCCTTTTCCCGAGATAAGAATACTTGATGCAGGTTACAGGTTGCTTGGTCCAAGAATAATTTGTACAACATGAGTGAACTTATCTTTACAGGCGTGTTATGCGGCATCAGCAGTTGGATATTTGACTGGACGGTAAGATATTCAGTTTGTTTTAGATCAGTTTCTTGATTAATCATTGAAGGATTTGACCATACAACTTTCCATGGGCTAATTTGGATCCATGAAAATGGAAGTTAGGAAAAAAAACCTTGAGAAATTATTTGTCTCAAATGCCAAATTCAAACCAATCATTAACAATAAAATGTGTTGAGCCAAAACAGAAAGACGCCAACTTTATATAGAAGATTTAACCCTTTAAACCCTGTGAGTGATGACCAATGTCCAATTTTTCCTGACAGTGACACTGCTGAATGTTCTGATCAATATGTTAAAGGAATTGATCACCAACCTAAGAAGTTTTAATTATTAAACAAATAAGATGTTTAGAAAGATGCTTTTTGGCCTAGTCACAAGGGTGGGACAAAGAGAACTTTTGAGTCCCCATGAGGAATCGAACCTGAGTCCTTCAGATTCGGTGCTCCTATGCCCTACTGAGCCACAGAAACTCTATGGCGAGCAAGGCCCATTACAAAGTCTATATTTGACAGGTGTTCTGTATAATGCTAGGATCGGCAATGTTGAAAGCATCATGTCTTGCAAAGAATAAAAAAGATGGTAAGTTTTGAGCTGGTTAAAGAAATATCTTTCTATATTTTTTTACCAAGCTGAAAAACTTACCATCTTTCTTATTCTTTACAAGAAGATAATTATTTGTTAATCACTTCAGGGACTTTAACCCTTTTCACTCCCTAGATCCTCTTAAGAATTCTCCTTACTGTCTGCCATAGAATTCTTATCATGTAAGTTTGAAGAATTTGGTATTGGATCAACTAAAAATACCCTTGTTGATAGTTTTCTTTATTCTCATCACTTGTCTGCTTGATATTGTATTGATGTTGTAAGGAGAAATTCTGTCTTGGTCACTGATGGGAGGTAAAGAATTAAGGGTTGAGTTGTGAGACTAGAGGGTTGTTAACACTATTCTGTCCGTACCCTCCAGACTTGCACAGTTTGTCTGTAATTCTGTAAACCAGTCTACATGAAGTAGGGACTGATAGTATAGGCATTGAAATGATGATGAAAAATTTCTACAAGACACATGTCCAACCGTGTTCATTTATGAACTATCTGAATGGTTGTTTGCAGACCTGGTGTCTGTCTCGTAGTTTCTGGTCCCGGATTATTACATGCTCTTGGAGGAATGGCAAACGCAATGAGTAACTGTTGGTAAGTTTGGAGAGATTTTTATGAGACGATGTTCTTTAATCTATAATGAAGTACTCCTAAAAAAATTTGAAAAATGATTTGTTTGTGCTTATAGAAAACAAACTACCTTGACCAACAAAATAGTAAAAATAAAATAAATTAAAACTTTAAGCTTATCTGTAAGGATGGAAGATCCTGAATAGTTGAATTTCTGGAAAACTGTTAATCATTCTTTGGTATCAAATGCTTCCTTTCTGAACCTTAAAAAAAAATTGCCACATTTTTTTAGTTGGTTAACTTTGAGCACAATCATCAAATAAAAAAGGTGTTATCCATTAGTTACATTTACAGCAGTGGGGAATACTGATGTTGGGGTGTAAAGAATATTGTTAAAATGATTGTTCTTTAGGCCTGTTTTAGTGATTGGTGGGTCAAGTGATGTTGATCAAGAAAGCATGGGTGCTTTTCAAGAGTTTCCACAGGTTTGTAAGTACTCAATACTTTTTCTTGGCCAGATTTTATTTTTAGGGCCTTATTGTTTGAAATAGCACTATCAGCAATACCAGAAAAAAAACACCTATTAGGCAGCTTTAAAACCACTTTACTCCCAAGATCTCATAAGTATTACTCTCTGTTGTCTACCATACAAGCCTTGTGATGTTAGCCCCGAGAATTTGGTTTTGGATCACCTAATAATCCCCTAATTGATACTTTTCTTTATTCTCAACACTTGTCTGCTTGACATTGTATTGATTTTGTATGGAGAAATTCTTTCTTGGTCACCCGTGAGAGTTTAATGATTAATGTAATTTAATTGAGTTTCAGACAGACCATCCACCCATCTGAGGGGTATGCCTGAACATGTTACGGAAGAATGTATCAAGGGCTGATTTATTCTTTTCTGCAACCCATATGAAATTTTACTCCCTAACTAAGTTTTTATGAATACCAAATAATGCAGCCACTTGAAATTACAATCTGAAATGTGCTGACTTCATGCATATACATGCATTGTTCTTCAAGGCACTTTTTTGTGGTACCCAAATTATGTTGAATAAGTATAATTTCTAATAAGGGGAGTGTTTTCAGTGTTGCAAATCTAACGGACCAGAACTCTCACGGTTTATCACACTTTCTATTGGTTTTCTTTATAAGATTCCTATTAGATGAAACTAGTAAAAGTCACTGTTAGAATAAGTGCTTCTCCTTACACAGGTTAGAACATTTGTTATCCCATAGAATGTTAACCGCCTCCTGGTTAGCTCAATTGGTAGAGGGCC